CGCCACATACGGGACAAACGCATCGATAAAAGTGTCGCCTTTATTACCCGCTATTCGTCATTTTTTTTTTCATCTCTCGTCCTTTGATCGCTTATTCAACCTCCCTGTATTCCATTTCCTTTTTCCCTTTTTTCTTTCTCTTTTCTTTTTTCTTGAAAATTTCTTTTGGCCTTTCGAGAATCTGCTCTCGCGACGGCTGCAACGTTCATGCCCATGTCGTCTTTCACGTGGGGGAGCCCCGAAATCGTAACGCAATTGCCGGCGGCCGTACGCGCGCTCCTTTTAATCCAAAGAATCGAGAGAGACAGCTCGGATAGGATATGCGATGTCGTTTGTCCCGTGAATTATGCTGACGAAGAGACGATGCGCTGTCGAGCCATTACGCTCGCTATTAGCATTGGGGACGTATGTACGGTGCTGGCATAATACGTAAAGCTAATCAATAATTTGGTGTGGCAGTGATTACAGTGGGTAGCCTTGAAAGAGACTAATAATGCGAGTTTAAAATGCAAGGATGTCAACCTTAGCCTTTCAGCGGAGGGTAAATAAATTAAGATGGTATCAATTAGCTGCAAGGTGTTTCAGGAAGCAGAAATTATAATAATTACATCGAATGGCTTTTGTCTGACCGGAATAGCGCGTCTTTATCAGAGAATCGAAAGAAAAAGAAGATCGCGCGCTTTGGGCAAGCAATGGTGCGAGTCAATAACGTACGATCGGGGTGACGGAGGGGACGACGAGTGCGACTCCAAAAGGCAGATGCCAAAGGGTTTGTAGTACGCGGCCAGCATGAATGAATCTCAGTTGTTTAGTTGACGGGCTGCTTTATCGGCTCTTATCTCTTATCGCGGCCGGAGATGAAGCAACACCCGTCAACCCTCGGCGCTTCCGCCCCTTCGTGAAAAACAAAGAATCGGAGTCGAGCGCAAGAAGCCAGAGCCAATTACGCGTGCGGCAGGTCAAATGGCTCTCGCGCCGCTTCTTGCGCGCGACTCTTCGAGGAAGCGGTCGTACGTGAGCGCGTACTCGCACAAAAGAATGGCAAAAGGTGGCAGCTGTCGGGTGGTGGGCGATAAGAAGCTCCTCGTGTATGCGCACACGCGCGACCCGCAAGAAGGAGCGAAACGAGAACGCACACGTATCCGTTCCTCTCTCTCTCTCTCTCTCTCACTCTCTCTCACTCTCTGTCTCTGTCTCTCTCTCTATCTCTCTCTTTCCATACGTGTGCGTGCGTGCGTGCGTGCGTCTCTGGTCGTGTCTCTGTCTCTGTTACTCTTTTTCTCTTCCGTGCTGAACGGGAAGTCCCTCGGAATCTTGGGTCTGCTCTCGGGGTGTCGCTCTCCGCGTTGCATAGGTGTAGCATAGGTATGTGTGGGCTCCCGCTTTCCCTCTCTTTCTCTCGCTCATAGCGTCTCCTTCAAAGGGGTCCCCCACTCCGGCGGTGAGCGCACGATCGTCCTCCAAGACGTTGAGAAGGATAGAGACAGAGCGAGACAGGGTGAGAGAGTGTGAGAGTGAGAGAGAGAGAGATAAAGAGAGTGTGTGCGTGTGCGAGAGAGTGAGAGAGCGCGGGAGGAAGGAAGAGTGAGACTGAGAGAGAGAGAGAGAGAGAGAGAGAGAAAGGAGGGAACCTCCCGGGGACCCTGGGACCTACGGTCACATGCGCACACGTACGTACCCTCCTCTCTCGCTCGCGGCCCTCCGGCCGGGGAAAAAGGACGAGCTAAGAGCGCACGAGAGAGCAAGAGAGTACGAGCAAATGCAAGAGAGAGAGTGTGCGAGAGAGAGAGAGAGAGAGAGAGAGAGAGAGAAGGAGCGCCGGCCACCTTTCGGTCTCGACTTGGGCTCGGCACTGCGCGGCTCCTACAGTCAGTCCGAACCCGTCCTTGGAAAGCGCCGCTTCTCTCCAGGGGCCGCATCGCATCTCTTGCTCCCTATCCATCGCCGTATCGCTTCTACCTCTCTCGTACACTCGGTCCACGGGGACGAGCACGTGGATCGAGAGATATCGTAGACTCGCGGGAGTAAGTCGCGTGTCGTCGCGCGTGCGAGTGCTGCCGGCAGCCGGCTGGACCACGAATAGCAGCACCTGGACCATCGGTAACACGAGGAGTGGTACTAGGTGGAGGTAGTGGTGTAGGAGGTGGTGGATTAAGAAAAGAAGGAGGAGGAGGAGGAGGAGGAGGAGGAAGTGGCAGTGATTGCGGAGGAGCGAGTCCACGGTCACGGTGCTCGATCGCTCGGGCCCACAACGACATACGAGTGACCGCGGAGGACGTGGGGAAGCCTGAGGGGCGACGCGCTCTGCGAGGTGCCTGACCATTGGTAAGTGCATCCGCGAGGTGATTGGGAAGGAGGCCTCCTCCCGCAACTCCTTGCGAGGATCGCTCGAAGGAGGCCTCCGTCGCCGAAGGATCTCGAGACCCTTTGTGCGCGCGCGAGCGCGCGTGTCCCCCGATTCCCCGTAAGCCGCACGGGCGGCCCCTTCGTCTTCGCCCCAATAACACTCCCTATAAAAGACATTGTCCTCGGGCGCTTTCCGGCCGTCTCCCCTCGCGCTTTTCCGCGCCCCTGCCCGCGCGACTCCTCGAGCGGCCGAAGAAAGAGCCCCGGGCACAACAATGCGCGCCGCGGAGATTATTGTTCGGTCCGTGGGGGAGCGGGCCCCGGATGAGGCGAGAGCGGATGGGATTATCTCGGGTCAGGTAGCGAGCGAGCCGCAGCCAGCCGATCGAGGAAGCCAGTCCCACTCGCTTTAAAAGCGACAATGAGGCACGATCGAGGCCGCCCTGGGGCTTCGACACGGGGGAGAGGCCCGATGGGGGGAGAACGCCGGGCATTATGAGCGAGCATTGCGCAAAAACGTCGCCGGCCCTAGTGCTATTATCGGTGTCGGGAGCTTACGGGGCCCTTGAGTCGTGGGAGTCGCCGAAGCTACCGTTCCTCCAAGTTTTCGCTCATTTTTGGCCCCGAGGAGACGACATCCGATTCCTAGGCCCCGGTCTCTCTCTCTCTCTCTCTCTCTCTCTCTCGGTTCCATCCTAATCCCCCTTCCCACTTCTCGCCAATTTACTACCTACTATCTCGTAGATCCCTTCCCGTATCTATCTTTGTTTGAGCGACGTGTGCGCGCAGCCGATACCGTAACGACACGTACCTTCGCGCCATCAGGATCCGCTCAATTGCCTGTCCCTTTGTACCCCTCCAACTTACACACTTTTTTCTTCTTTGACAATTCTCCTTTGACGAAGGGGATAGTCCCCGGCCTCGGGAACCTGGCCCGGAAGTCGCGAGATGCGCTCGATATCACGAGCAGCCGTTTCAACTAGTCGTGGAGTGGGGACGAGGTCGTTACGAGGGCGCTTTTTATTCGACCCCATTCTCAAACCGCTACTAAGAGAGCGGATTTACGTAATTACTTATGCCCGAGGAGTGTAAACATCCACGAGCCGAGTCTCATCGTCGAACTGGCCTTTCCTCGCTCTGTCCCGCTTTAAAGCCAAGCGAAACTACCGACGAAACTTATGTGCGCGCACTATCCTCGCCTCGCTCTTCTCCCATTACCGCGCAACCATTTAATAATGCCTACTAAGTGGCAGGACTATTTATTATGTCACAGCGATTTTAATGGCTGTTAGTAAACAAGGCCAATGGCCAAGGAGCGAGCTCCTGAAATTTTTGCGTACATTAAGAGATAAGAGAGAGAAAGAGAGAGAGTATAGCGAGCGAGGCGAGGAGAGGTAAAGTTCCCTCATCACTACCCCTCGTACACCTACACACGGGTAAGAAGGTCGTGAGACAAGCAAAATTCCTTCGTACTGGCCGCTTAATGTCACAGAAGGGCAGCGCAACAGGGCAAAACGTGGCCCGCCGATACCTCATTGGATAACAATTCGCTTGCATAAGGAGCGCGGATCCTTGAGAAGGCCGCACGCTTCGCCAAGTCGGCTAATCGTTTGTTGGCGGAGTACTCGCTAATGGTGTCGGAGGAAGGCGCGTTCGAGCTGCTGGACGCGGGGCCCAACCGTTTCTTTCGTCTCTTCGTAATAACCGCGATCTCGACAGCGTGCCACGCCACATCCTCGCGTCACCGCAACAAACCCGTCCGACGGTTTTGCAGAATTTCGGTTAGAGGCGATACTTTCCCACGCGGGCACGGCGCGCCCGATCCAGGACGAAAGGTCCCGCGGCCGGGGTCCGAGCCGGGAAAACCGGTATCCCCGGGCAGGACCGTTGCCGAAAATGCCGGCCCAGCTCGGGGTCCCGGTTTTTTCTCGCGACAGGGGGACGCGCCGACAGGTTTCCACGCGCGTCCGAGGGCAGCCTCGGCCGCGGCCCGTCCCCGTACATCCCCATTAGCATATTTTCGGCCCGGATCGAGCTCCGGGGCTAGGACTCCGTACGGAGCCCCGCGGATTTGGAAAATTCGAGAAATATATTGATTTTATTGAAAATATCCTCCACTATTCTTGTGCGCGTGATTATCGCAGTGTGTAATTTAAATTTAACCACTTAATACTTTTCACGATATAGTTGATTATAAAATTGAAATTAGTTCATTTGTTATTTTACGTGCTTCGAGCGTCACTCTATTTTACGGGCGTAGGGAGCTCTTGGAGCCTCGAAGGGCCGTTCGGCCCCCGGCGCCTCGCCAAAGCCTCGGAGGCCCCGCGAAAAATGCCGCCTCCGGTGAGTAAGAAAATTGCCGCCGCCTCTGGAGAAAGCGGCGCGTCACGGGGGATTCGACTCGGGCTCTTGGCGCGTGACGCCTTGGCGTAGAGAATCGGACGGGAGCGGCGGATGGCGCGCGAAGCTAATTTCCTGGCCTCGGCTCGCGCCGCACATGAAAGGCCACGGCGAGCGGCATTCCAGCGGGAAAATTTGTCAGAGTCCGGGCCGCATTGGCTGTCTCTGCACGCCCACAAGATAGATAGATGGATAGAGAGAGAGAGAGAGAGAGAGAGAGAGAGAGAGAGAGTGAGAGAGAGAGAGAAGAATGAGAGTGAGAGAGTGAGAGAGTGAGAGAGTGAATGAGAGAAACGCGACTGGGGGCCTCCGAGCCCTCCCCATTCACGCTCCCACTCCTGCTCCTCCTCCACCTCTACGTTCATCATTTCCACTGCCGTTCGGGTCCGCTCTGCCGCGGCCGTCTCTCGCCCGTTTAGCCGTAGAGTCACGGACTCTCGGACCACCGCGACGCCCAAAGAAGCTGAGGCACAGCCAGGCAGCGAAACGAAAAGGATCGAGTCGCAACTCGTCGTGGTCGTCGCTGCCATTGGCATCGGCCTTCATTCTCGCGCACAGCCGGAGGTCGACGCTTTACTCAAAACAGACCATACACGGTCGGAACAATGAGCCCATTCGAGGAGCTCCCCGAGCCCCCAAAGGTGCGAGTCTTTTACGTAGGTAACGCTCCCCCACTTCCTCCTCCTCACCCAGCATTTCGTCATTCTCTCTCCCGCGAGCCACTCGACTTTTCTCCCTGCCTTGCCTCCTCCTCATCCTCCTACCCAACCCTCCCCCCACCATTATATCTTCTTAACTCCCACCCTTATACGACCCGCTCCGTGGGTGCTCTCCTTTCCCGAGGTATGCCCGCGAATTTTGGGAATAATCGCACACAGCCACAGCCTCGATCACTCTTTTCTTCTCTTCCTATGTTATGTTTATGCGGAGGACAGCGCCCCTGACCTTCTTTCAAGCACTCAAACTGTTCAACCTTTAGTCCCCCGTTCCGCCCTCCAGCCGCCCCGTCACCACGCTACCCGACACACTCAAAACTTTCTCTTGTCCGTGGAAATTTTGCATTGACGCTTTTTGCGTTTCAAGCGATTGTGGTTTCGTTCGTAGTTCGACAATCTGGGAAAAGCCATTTTCCACTTAAAAGCTCACGCTCATGACTCGTATTTTTCGCGCCGTGTTTTCTCCCATTTGAGATATATTGGTAATGCCGGCTCGCAAATAATGGAGCTCTGACGCTCTACAATAGGCCAACGGGCACACGAATAATCATAATCGCAGGATAATAAGATCTCGGCCGAAATGAGAAATTCGTTTTGATAGCCAGTCCCATTAGCTGGGACAAGCCTGGGCTCGCAAGTCCCCAAAATTAATTACTAAAAATGTCCAAGGCATATAATTGCCGAATCTCATGAAATAAAAATAAATAAAATAAGAAGAAGAAGCTTCACAGTAGCCCAGTGGGATAACACTCACTCAGAAACTCAGGCTGAAGTCGTTACCCAGTCTCCTCGTCGGCTCCCATGCGCTACCGCAAGGATATTAATTAATTAGCATGGATAATTAGAAGCTCCGAATGACAAGGTAGATAAAGTCGAGTCTGCTGCTTCGACCGTGAGGCAATAAAATAAGAGAGGTATTGTTGCATACGGGCGCCCGTTTGTGTATGCATCTGATTTTGTGTGTGGTGGTGGTGGTGGTTATGGTGTATGTGTGCGCGCGTGCGTGTTTGTGTATGTGTGGGAATGAGAGATGGGGAGAGATGGGGAGAGAGAGAGAGAGAGAGAGAGAGAGAGAGAGAGAGAGAGAGGGGGAGAGAGAGAGTGACAAGGGACAGAGGGGGGTGGGAATCGAGTAGCAAAGGAGGCGATAGTGGCGAAGAATGAGGAGAGGGGTGGATGTGATGGAGGAGGAGTAGGAGCAAGAGGAGTAAGAGGTGGAGGAGGAGGAGAAGCAGCCTGGCCAGCCTTCGTGTGTGGTCCTTCGGAGGTGTCGCGTTGTGTGTGGTATCCTAAACTGTTTTAAAAGAGAATGAACGGCGCGGGCGGTGGTCGGGGCCGGGGACAGCGCAGCAAGTGAGCATGCGCTCGGTCAGTCGATTTCCTCTCGAAGCCCCGAGGCATAGCCGCCTCCGTCGTAGCCACCACCGCCGCCTCCGATAGCGCAGCAGGTGTTGTTACCACAACGGTGCGTCTCGTTCGGATAGCGTCTCCCCGTGCCCGTCCATCCCCCTCCCGCCCTCACTCTCTCTCTCTCTCTCTCTCTCACTCTCACTCTTGGCACGCATGCGAAAAAAGCCACGGATGATCGCACGAGGAAAGCGGACCAATTAACTGCTCCCCAGCCCCAAGTCCTGGAATCTCGGATCGGCGAGAGATCGCGATTTAGATCTCGAGTGCGCACGCGAGATGCTCGCCTTATCGGGACGACTCTTGCCCGTAACGTTATCTCCCAGTCTTCCCAGCAATAGCGCCGAAGAAGCGGAACCTGGCACGCCGACGTGGGAGGTCGTCATGGTCCGATCGCATCCATTTTCCAGCCGATGTGAATCCACTTTCGTGGATTCGCTTTAGTCCTGGAATCACCTCGCGCCCCGCCCCTCGGCCACTGGGGGTGCCTCCTCGTATATCAGGGAAAACCGCTGTCCGAGCGCCGGCACGATTCCTCCGTGAGGCGAGCAGAGCCTCGGTTGTCGTTCGCGCGCCTCCGCATTTCCCGCTCGTCAACCTCGTTCGTTTTCAACAACTGTGGCGTAGCATCGACGGCGTCATCCCCGCAAAAACTCGCTGAATTTCCGTAATTAATAAGCGTGAAACGAGAGCTCTTGCCATTAATTACGAGGACCATTACGAGGAAATACTCGCTGACCCTTCCACTAACCCGATTCAGCCGAGCCGCCATGATTATATTATACTGTAATCGAGCCCGCACGATCGCAAGAGTCGCGAGTTCTCTCGCGCGATCTGGAATCAAAGGTGTGCCGTCGCATAAAATCCGAGAAGGGAAGAGTGCGTGCATAAAAAGCATGGGCCGCGACCGCCATTTGCGGCGCCAAATCGCACGAACGAAATGTTGATCGGGTACGAGATACCACGGCTCGCCGGGTGTATGACGTTTATGTACGACGGGGCGCATGTGACATACATACAAACCGCGTATATATTGCCTTGCCGACCGAGAGCTTAAATTACAGTTTTTCATATTTTACTGCGGCACTAATTTCTCATAAATTTTTTGTAAA